CACCAGAAAGGCTTCTGGACTACAGAAAATACAGATATGAAACGTTTCACTCATCCCTCTTATGCCAATAACAACTTCCTTTTGTATCTTCGAGACAGAACAGTGGAAGAGCCTGGACAGTTTTTTAACTGTCAGTGAGGAACACAACAAGGCCAAAAGGCCACTTTGAAAACTGGGTGTCTTTATTGTTGAGATCTGTAAAACAATAGCACTGATTGCTGGTTTCTTCTCTTCAGTTTACTGGATGGAAAACAGCTCAGCATAATATGTGCAAAACTATTCATAAATGTTCCCTTCGACTACCTTTATATAAACTAAAAATATGCGTGTTGTTTTTACACTCTAGTGCCTATCTGGTCACGCTCTAGCTGTAAAACTAACAACAAAAATAGAAGGATGAAAAATACAGGACACACACACAAAAGAAAAGCTGACACTTATATGGGACTACAAGGCTATTTCCATAGAATTTTAAAGCAGAAACATCTTCACACCTTTTGAAAAGGCGGCAACATCTCTGAAGTGAGAAAGCATTCACATGATAAGAAATGGAGAGGCTTTGGATATAACATATGGCCTCCATCCTGTGTTTGAATGTGAGCAGGAGGATTGAGTCCACGTGGATTTTCAGTAATATCAACAAACGCCATGCAGGCATGAAGGTTTGCCCACACACATGAAGCTGTGGGAATAGGATAAAGCAGAAAGGAATACTATAGTGGATTTGATGCCAGAAGATCTTAGCCACCAGATGTACCAGGCTGCATATTCTACCTGCCTATGTGCCTAGTGATTTCTTCCCTCTCACATATCTGTGTTATGAATAATTCCTTCCCCTAGGATACTACTTTTCTTACTTAACAAACGTGCCAGAAAAAGCTATTTCTGAAATAATTATTCTCAAATAATCAACACAGTTTCAACATTTTTGTTCAAACATAACGAGCTATTCAGTGTTAGCTACTAATGTACATGAGAGCCTTGGTATTCTTCTCTTCTACAGAACCACCTGTGCTAGCTTGAATTACCTCAGATCATGTAACAGTAAGAAAAGAAGAGTTATCAGACCTTATGCATCATCATTCAATTACTAATTCAAGCCCTGGCATAATTTAGAGTTCCTATAGGACATCTCTGTGCTATGCCAGGTAATAAGAGCTCAGAGACTACAGAAGCAGCAAGACAGAAAATGAAATGCACTGTGCTCCAAGGACCCCCATAGACCTCAATGCCAGGAGACACTTGATACACAGGAGATACCTCTGACACTTAGCAGGTTTTTGATACCATCATAACTGTCCATGATACGTGATTTATGACCCACATGACTTCTGCCAAATAGGCCAAAGCAATTACATCATAGAAGGGATGTCCCTTCATGACTTCATGATGATAGCAAAAGATGAAAATGCTTTCAAATAATGAGAGCTGTGAGACTTGCACAGATTCCATCCATTTTAGTTCCTGCAAACCAAAACAGTAAGAGGTAATGTACCAATTCATAGGAAGCCACAAGAATGTTGAAGGTACAGGTTCTGTAAACCATTTTGTTGATGGATTAACAGAAAATGTACATAGATATCTTTTTAATCAATGCCTACTATGGTATCTTTCCCTTATTTAAATGAAATATTCTGCAGGAGTTTCAAAACAGTATCCTGGTTTTTATCCTGAAATTGATTTTTAATATTTAGAATCACAAAAAAAAAAAAAAAAATGCACTGGTTTATACAGTTGACAATGCAAGTAAATTATGACAGCCATTATGGGATCAAAAGCATCTGACCTACAGCTGAGAACACTGATGGTAATTAATCTTAGGTGATGTTCTCATCAGGAACGGAAAAAAATTGGTTGTCATACTATCAACCATAATCCTTTCTCTATACAAACAGCACAGCCTCTGTGCCATCATGATCTGCATCTCCAAAAGAAGCAGAGGGGTCTTATTTCAGCTTTCTGTTTGGAGGACATCTTCATTTTGACTACCCTGTGTTCTTCTGGTGTTCTACCATAACTCAAAACCTTGAAGTCCATAATACAAATCAAGACTAGTTTTCTTCATACATTACACCTCAAAGGAATAAATATGCATCATGTCTTACAGGAAAGAGAGGCCTTTCATTTCTTTCTAAAAGATACAAATTGTTTTCTTGGTCCTTCAGTCTATTCTTATTTCTCATTTCCCTCTGCAAGAATTCTCCTTTCAAACAATTTCAAGTTGCAAAAGCCTTAATTCAGTATGCCAAGAGATCTTAAAATGTTGTTTGCAAAGTTTGCAGACAAATAATTTCCCAAGCATAAGGGCCAGTAATTAAAATGTACATATATTCCTAAATCTCAGTACCATTTCTTCTAAACCAAGCAATGTAATACACGTAAAGTAACTGACCAATAACAAATGTCAGATCATATTTTGAAAATGTATAAGCCTCCTTTAAATAGATTATTTTCCATATAGTAAGCATTAAGGTCCTACCAAAACTAAGTCTTAAAACATAATGGGAGAGATACCAAAAAACCAGTTGTATATCTTCATTATTTAATTAAGAAACAGCAGTAGTGCTACATTCAGCATACTTTATATTTAAATTCATCAAATAAGTAGCAAAAGATTTTGTGACATAAGTTGAACCTATCTTTAAAAGAGAAGTTTACTAATAATGATAAATGACTTATCAGCTAACTTAACAGCCAGTTCTGTCCGACGATTAACGCCATCCCTCTGAACGGCAGCCCTTAAACGGCCCTAATCCAGATATTCACTGAATTTAGTGGAGGGCCGGTGCAGCCTGACGTGCGCACTGAATTCATTCTGTGCTGATGTTCAGGAAAGATCCACGCACAGAACAGTCCTGCCTCTGCACCGCTGTGACAACCTTCCTTGCCTCACATTCTGCTCGTTCGTAGCACTGTGCCTGAACTGCGGGGCTTTTCACAGCAACGTGTTGAATGAATGGCCAGCGCTGAAGTGCCACACAGACACAGCTCCTGGAATCCAGTGTTAAATGGAGGCAAGCCTTAAGAGAGCCTGTTACACCTTCCCTCCCTTGGACTGTTATCCAGACACCCCAGCTACACAGTATGCTACAAAACATAGCGTGAAAAGGATGGCAAAGAAAAGATACATAGCATTAGTGTCAGCGAGGTATCTACAAATCTTAATCCTTTCCACCAAGGTGACAAATCCTGAGGATTCCCAAAAAAAATACAGATCCTTAGGAAGAAGGAAAATAAAAAACCAAAGGCTAAATGCCTTTATGTTCATACTCTACATGCTTCAAAGGCTAAGACAAATTATTTGAAACTGCAGCTCTGCCGATGCAGCAAAAGCATTCCATCATTCATTTATTTCATATATTCCTTCACAATAAAATTAAAAGAAAAAAAAAATAATTAAAAAAAAAAATGAAAAGGAAAACAGGAATTGGAATCCTCTGTAATGAGAGAGAGAGAGAGAGAGAGGGGGAAGAGACCCCCTGCAGGACTGACCTCACTGTCAGTCTCAGGAGCCTGGATTCTCATTTGGGAAAGCGAGAAAAGGAGGGAGGAAGATTAGGAAATGCTGGCAGCTAACTGCATGGCATAAGGACCTGCAGAGAATGGGACAGCTTTGTTCTGTCTCAAGGTATTACTGTTAGGATGGCCAAGAAAGTGATAACCTTCATTTTTCCATTCTCACTGTGGTACTTAAGGAAGTGCCTAATTTGAAGAGAACTGGACAGGTGGCATATCATGCTGAGCTAAATAGATCAGCGTGAGATTTAAATGACAAGAGGCAGCAGGTTTTGCTGTTCTAAAGAGAGAGAGAATTATTCTGATGACACCAGTGGCACCAGTAGAAGGTCAGCTTGGGGTGCTGCCGGTGTCACCTGAGTGCCTGGTAGCAGATGGTGCCAGTCTGGAGGGATAAAAGAAAGACTGACGTGCCACACAGGCTGACAGCAACAGAATTTGCTTAGGAATAAAAGAAGTTTTAGGTCAGATGCAGGCAGTATTAATATGTCAGCACCAGTGTCACCAGTCCAAGGGCTGCAAGGCTGGGTCAGTCAGAAAACGCTGCAGGAAGCGCAGTGAGGGCAGGCACTGCCAGGGCGAGTGCTGCAGGATCTGCTGGCTGTGGGCCGGCCGAACCGTTCTCTGCACGACCCCAAGGGAGCTTTGGAGATCCCTCTCCATCACCACAGCTGTGTCAGGCTCTGCCGTGCCCACTGGGATGCCCTTCTCTCCCCCTGCAGAGCACTGGCTGGTGGAGCTCACGTTCTCGTTCCCGGACTTACGCAACACCCAGAGGGCAGAAGCAGCCTGCAGGGAAGCGGAACGGCAGGAGACACGGGCGGCCTGGATCCCCATAGGGCTCGCTGAAGTGTCCTGAACTAGAAGACTGGCCACCTCCCCGCTACTACCTCCTACAACATAATTATTCCAGCATGACTGACATGACAAATTAACAAGGCAGCCAGGGCTTTTGCAGCAGAAGGAAGTGTTTTCCCCAAGAATAAATTGTTCCAATCCTTTACGCTAGACACCCGGCCATGCCTATTCATTAATTGGACAAGCTCTAGTGACAACTGAAATTACCTGATTTCTGTATACTAGAGGAGAGAGAAATCTTTTCATGCTTAAAAATGAGGAGTCTAAAGCTGGAATCCTAGCCACCGAGTTTAAGAACTTCAAGAGCTATGAAATTCTGAGATTACTGCAGTGTTGGGATTAATTATCACAACCAGAATACATTAGGAATTTGAAGCACCTGCTTAATCACTGCACTGTGGTTATTTATTGCAACCAGTGTATCGTAATTACAGGTACTGGATATAAGGGGGGAACTGATTGCTGATGGTTTCTGTCACGATCCACTCACAATATGTTGTTCACGCATTATTCAACTACAGCTTAGATCTGCATTTATCCATCTCTTGCCCCTCGCTTAGGGAAACCCCGGCAGCCCTGCCAGGTATTTCTCACCCACACCCGCCCTTTCTGTGCTGGTTGCATACCTGAAATGCAGACAATGAAATTCGCTTGCAGAAGAAAAAGCACCTCCCAAACAATTTCCATCCTCTGATTCTCATGCCAAGTGCATCCCTCGGCGAAAAAAAATAACAAAGATCAATATCGCAGTTTGAACGATCCCGGCAATTTTCCTTCTGGACTTGCAGACTGTATTCCCCAGATGTGCTGACAACACATGTCCGAGCTCTCTCTGTGTACGGCTCAAGCAAGATCCCTTCCCTTCCTTCGCCCTCCAAAAAACACCACGAAGCCAACCGCCAGGACGGGGCTCTTCCTCCACGAGCGAGAAAAAAATCCGCCGGATTTCCCAACAAGACATAGACCACAAACCCCAACCGATCCGGTCCGGAGCGTCTCTATTCCAGGGCGGCCGGGTGCGAGTTAACCCCAAACTCTGCACGTCTCAGCGGGGCAGCGCCAACATGCCTGGGGCAGGGAGGCGACGGAGGAAGGGGGTTTCCTCTCCTGCTGCTACAAAACGAGCGGAAAGAGATTAATACCCGCTGCAACGCCTTCGCCCCACATCCCGACGCTACCGCACCTCCGCGGCGCGGAGCTGAGCGCGACGCAGCCGGCTCTCCAGCCGGGCGTTCTGCAATCCCCGGAGCCCAGGCTGCTTTCCGCCCGGTGACTGCAGGGGTCGTTCTTGCCCCGCGCAAAGCGCTGCCCGGCCCCGGCCGCGCTGCCCCCGCCGCTGCCGCCCACCGGGGCCGCTCCGACCTCGGCCGCGCAGCTCGGCGGCCCCGGGAGGGGCTGCGGTCGGGGCCGGGGGGGCACCGGCACTCGTCCCCTCCCCCTCAAATCCAAATCCCAACCTGCAGAAGTGGAGGCTGCGGGCAGCCGGGGTTTGTGCGCATCGCCGGCCGGCTTCGCTAAGGATGCCGATATTTTAAAACTTATTTAAAGAAGGAGGAAAAGAAAAACAAACCCAAACTTCTCCCGGATTTGGCGGTAGGAAGGGGAACGTGAGCGTACAAGCAAGACTTAGCGAAGTACTTGTGCTGCAATGCACAGCTAATTGCATTCCCCGATCCACAGTAGTTCTGCGGAGATACCTTCCCCCTCCCCGTCCCCAAACAAGTACTGCCGATTTTGGGGCAATCTCTTACTTACCCCCAAATCCTCCCGCTTTTTACTGTTTTTCAGCTCATCAGATTTGTCACTCTCGCCTGCAGTCCCAAAAACAAACCGAGGTCAAGCTTCGAGCCGCGCGCTGCAGCCACCTACCACCACCTTTAGCTGCAAGGAGGTACCATCGCTCGTCGGCTTCCCCCCCTCCTCCCCGAATCCCCGCTAGTTCGCCATTTCCCCGAGCGGCGCAGCGTGCTGCGGGATGCCGCGGGCCGGGCACGGCGGGGCTCGGCGCGGCGGCGCGCACGGGCGCGGGCTGAGCGCTCCGCTCCACTCGGAGGCGGTGCCTGGGCGGGCGGCGGCGGGGCCGCATCGCAGCGCGGCAGGGGGGTCTGCGGCGGGGAGCGGGCAGGGCCGAGCGGGGGAGGCGAGGAGGAGCGGCAGCCTTCCCTCTCTCGCGCGGCCGTCCGGCTTTTCGGGCACGTTCCAAAAGCGGCCGCTCACTTTGTTTAAAACGTGCGTCCAAATTTTAATTGTCTTTTTTTTTTTTCCCCCATCCAAAAAGAGGTGCACCTGGAGAGGTTGCGCTTCCCGTTCTGCAGAAAGGGGAAGCCGAGTGCAGAAAGGCAGCGACGAGGGGTTGGGGAGCTGCGCAGCGCTGCGCGGGCGGTGCGTTGGGGGCTGCCCCGGGCCGCCCTGCCGCTATCGGGAGGGGGGAGCAGAACCTGCGGGTCGCAAGTAGAAATCCCGGTTGAGAAGGATGTGAGATGGTGATCCTGCAACCGCTCCGACCGCGGGTGCCTTCATTGATCACTGCACGGCAGAGGGAAAGGGGAGGGAGGGGGATGCTTCGGGTTTCAAAGAGATATCCCGGCTCGCGGCAGGTACGCAGAGGTCATATTATGAATACTCCAGCGGGGGCTGCATGCATAATAGATTGAATATAGGTTGGTTTATAAACAGCAAGCCCAGGGCTTCTTGGAAAATGCATCTTTGCCTGGATTCTAGTGAAATGGGAACGCCTGAGTGGGGAAGGAGAGGATCTGCACAAGAATAAACCACAGGCTTGGCTGTTACTGTCATCAGCTCTGAGAAATATGTGGGAGTCACAGGTTTCGAGTCATCCCGCCAGTATTTCTTTGCAGTGGAAAAGATTTCTTGAGCGATTCAAAGACACTGAATGGGACAAAATCAGCAGTGTTCGAAAGCACGAATCAGACTGTAGACACTTAGTAGTCAGTGTAATTCCTTCTACGGATTTTGGTAATTTTAAGGTAGCATCCTTGCACTGCAGCAGTGTCTGCTGATGCTTTCTCTCTCCTCTGATGGGTTATAAAAGAGACTCAGGATTTTAAGGAGGTGTTTGCCGTCTTCTGGCCAGTAAGATCAGCTAAGTGCAGCTGGCAGGAGCCACTGTTATTCAAGCCTTTAAGGATGCAGAGTTTAATTAAAAGAATTTTCATAATTTTTGATGGATTTTCAGTGAACAATGAGATGGCATAGCAAGAGGGATTTCTTTCCTTGGTGAGAGTTGGTTTGAATACTTGAATAAAAAAATAGGAATTATCTATCTTTGGCAAAATGAAAATATTATAGGAATGGAGTACAGTATAGGAGTTAGGGAACCAAGGCATCCTGTGGGTGAGCAGGCTTTTATCAAGTATGGCACTGTATAGATGTACCTGTGGGCTTTGAAAGATGCTGAAATAAGATTTGCATCTTGTTCTTGAAAAGTTAATGAAACAGGAAGTGCGGGGAGCTCTTCTTTAGGATCACATTAAATAAAGACAAGAAAGCAGAAAAAAACAATTATTACTGGGCCCAAGACCTTGTTTGTTGAGTAGTCTGTGTTTTCAGAATCATGTAAAATAGCAGATGCAGAACTCTTCTTTATGCCCTTTTAAAAGCCAGGTTAATCTCTCCTACTCTGGCATTATAAAAGAATATGCCATCCTCGTCTGGACGTATTTAAGCACGCCTTAGGAAATTCTCTTCTGCTGATGCTTACTAAACTCCTTTTCTCTAACAGATGAACATTTTCCATGGGGTTGGCTGTAAATTCTCTGTTGGACTTCCCAACTGATTTCTTAGAATAGAATCCCAATCCACAACACAGTAAAATCATAAGGAGACTCTTACCTTTTATGCTCATATTTTACACAGTCAGCCTTCCTCCTAAACCAGTGTCCTTGAAATTATGTCATGATATGTGGGGAAATAAATGTCTTGAGCAAGTAAGAAATACACAGGATCGAGCAGAGGATGTAAAAGGCTGTAGCTTTTCTTCTAGTGACCTGCTCTAGGAGGGCGTGTTGTCCATTAAGCCATTGAGGAATCAGACTGGTGACAAGAGAGAATGCCAAATCCTATGCAGCAAGCTCATGCTTGATTCCTATTAATGACAGTAGAACTTTACTGTGAGTTTAATGACAGGAAATGAGTTAGACAGTTGATGTTGGCCACTAGCAGATAGCCAAAAATCCCAACTACAGTAATTTTTGTGCATCTCTTCACTGTGGCATGTTAAACTCCCTTATGCAAGCTTTATGCTTACTTCAGTGGCCAGTGATAAACAAGTAGTTTGTGACTTGGATTAGCAAACCTATGAGGAATCAAAGCTGAAAGTTTCCTTCACCTGGAAAATACAGCAGTGAGCTCAGAAAACAGAACTGACTTTAAAATGTAGATAAATAATAATGAATTTGTTCTGCTGTCATTTACTTGGTCTGATGTTATTTGATTGGCAGTGGCCTTGGAGCTTGGTTTTGAAATCATTACGGCCACATTGGCTGCTGCAGCTCCGCAGGAAGGCTTGATTCAATAAAGTTGAATGGATGTCAATATGGGCCTATTTCAAAGCCCGCAGAAATCAATTGAAATATTTCTGCAGACTTCGGTGAGTTTTGGATCAGTCTCTCACTACAGGATTTGGCAGTGTGTTTGATCCCAAGGGAACTGGTTGAATATAATGCAGTGTATTTGGGATAGAAGGAAGAGGTGCTATGGAGCAGAACATAACTCTCCTGTGTTCATTGGCATGGTCCTAAGTTCAAACTAGACAAAAATGCAAGTTGTGGCATCAGTTCTTTATTGCATGAATTTCCATTCAGATCTCCTTCTGTAACTCACTAAAGTGAACAGGTTTGATATTTGCTGCATATATTTGATTTCCATTCATGTTTGTACCATTGGATAAACTTACCAAACTTACTCTTGTCAGCCTTTAAGCTGTGTTGAAGTCGCTGGACATCTCATGCACCAGAGCTAAAGATGACTGTAAGGTGTCTGTAGAAAGTCTCTGAAGCATGTTCATATTTTGAGAATTTTACAATCCAGAAGCCACTGCTCGGATTTTCTGTCAGTTTATGAGTACCTAACATATTAATTACAAGCTGGATGTCTCGATTCTTTGGGCCAGATTTACAGGAAAGGACTATTTTTTTAGCTATGCTAATAGAGTTCAAAAAATACTTAAAATTCCACATGCTTGAATACTTTTATACCAACAGAGTACATTACATTTTAGTAAGACAAAGCTATGGTTTGCACCTTCTCAAAGGAGCCAGCATTTTGACTCATTTGACATAAAATGAGCTTGGATGGGAAAAGATCAATTGTAGAAATTGTTTTGAACTGGGCAGCTTCTGAGCAAAATGTGTTGGACAGTGGTTCCTGCTGTGTTGATGGACGAGGTTGCTGCCATTCATCACTGCTGAGCTGCTGAAAGTTCCCACTGATCTGGTGCAGCATCTTGCCTGTGCGCTCCCCAGCTCATTTCTGTCAAAGCCAGTCAGATCAGCAAAGGCCTATTGAAGTTGTCTGAAACTTTGGGCTTGTTTCTAGCTATTACGCTGGCAGAGCTGGAACAACTCCTTCTCTTACCTGTCTCCTGCTGTCCCAGGGGTTGCTGGCCCCATGGCAGGGCTGATGGAAGAGCCTGTGAGTCAACTTACAAATTGCCACTGGGAACAGCC